CTATAGAACAGAATGCTGTTTGCTGTTTGGATCATTGCCCCCAGCCGGCAGATGGTCACAAACAATCCTTGGAGAACGTCCCAGATTGATCGTCATGCAATAAATAAACTGTGTCTGACTAAAAAGAACAGGACTACAAATAGACGTCTGATTATATAAATACATACGGAAATAATAAAAAAAAAAAAGAAAATGGAGAAAGAAAGAAAACAATGAAGAAAGAGAATACAACGGAGAAAGAAAGAGAGAGAATAAAATGTAGAAAGAAAGAAAGAATACTATGAAGAAAGAAAGAAAATATAATGGAGAAAGTGAGAAAATAAAATGTAGAAAGAAAAAAAGAAAGAAAGAAAGAAAGAAAGAAAGAATACTATGAAAAAAGAAAGAAAATACAATGGAGAAAGTGAGAAAATAAAATGTAGAAAGAAAAAAAGAAAGAAATAAAGAAAGAAAGAAAGAAAGAATACTATGAAAAAAGAAAGAAAATACAATGGAGAAAGTAAGAAAATAAAATGTAGAAAGAAAGAAAGAAAGAAAGAAAGAAAGAAAGAATTCCATGAAAAAAGAAAGAAAATACAATGGAGAAAGTAAGAAAAGAAAATGTAGAAATAAGAAAGAATGAATACCATGAAGAAAAAAAAAAAGGTAATAAATATGTATTGAGACAGGAAGAAAAAATTTTGGAAATAAATAAATATTGGAGACGAAAGAAAAAAAAACAATTGAAATATTAAAGGAAAGGACAGTAAAGAAAGTAATTGAATGAAGCAGAAGAAAAAGGAAACAGAAAATAATTAATATTGAAAAAGATTGAAAAACTTAAGAAAGAAAGAAATACTGCAAAGAAAGAAATACTGAAAAAGAAACAAAAAGAAAAGAAACTAACATTGAAAAGAAAAAAAAGAGGGGTGAAGAAAAAAAAACATTGTAAAAGAAAGAAGGAAAAATAATGAAATTAACATTGAGAATGAAAGAATGCAATAAGAAAGAAAGAAAGAAAGAACGAAAGAAAGAAAGAAAGAACGAAAGAAAGGGAGGGAGGGAAGAGAATAAAAGCTAGAATGAAACATGAAACGAAAACAATAGCTTTCGAAGGAAATGATGAAAACTATCAAAACAGTAGAGATCCTTTTTTTTTCTTTTTTAATAACAAAGAAACTATATGATCTATAAGAACTGTCAGATATGACAATAAGGTAATTATTATGCAACGGAAAGGAAATTATTCTGTTTTATCGTAGGAGAATGAAATCAGATGAGTAAAGGATGATTTATAGAGCACACTATGACATAATGCCAAAACTCTTGTTAAAAGGTGGTTTAACTGGTCTGTATGGCAACCAATCGATTATTTGATCACGGTTTGATATTGTAAGGCCAGTTAAAAATTCTTTCCCTAGTAAATAGAGATGCCGACACGAAAAAGGAGGCACAAGATTTGGCAAATGACACAGTGAATAAAGGTACAGAATTGTTTCAATTTCCTAAGAAAAAGTTGTAACGAGCACGCCAAGATATCTACATGCATCTAGCTAACTATTTAGGGACCTCAAACCGCTTCTTTTCTATATGCTATTTCTTTACCCGGACGTTTCCGATCATGGTTCTCCACAACTTTCACTTCTAAATAAGTTTCGAATCCTTAGCACCCTTTTTCTGATTGTTCAGCCATCCATTCACACAATCACCTTAAGTAGGTCACTCGCCATTTTCCTCGCCTTCTTCTCTCGCGTTCAGTATGTCCTGTGAGTGTTAAATTCTCCAGAATGTCTTTCTTCGTTATGTGTCCCAGAAAATTTCAGTTGTCTATTTCTGATTGTAAATTTAAAGACAGCATATTAACATGAAACCAAAATATATTTTGTAATATTTACGGCATTCTAAAACCAAAGGCTCTGGCAGCTTAAGTGAAAAATAGTTTTCTAAAGCAAAGAAAATGTGATAAAACAATTGTTATTCGATTCTAGCTGAAGTGGTGCCGAGAAATTTTTAATATCCAGCTCGACATGGGAAAATCTGAAAAAGAAATTCATTTTAGAAAAGGACTAAAAATAATAGTAGACACTCGCATCAATACAAAAAAATTTTATTACGAACACGGCCATAACATAGTAGCCGTTTTTAATTAAAATCTTATCTAGATATCAGCAAACTATACACCATTTCTAATAGTAAAAACAAAATGTTTGAAAAAGGCTAATAGATTAGCCTAACGCAATCGGCAGTAATAATCATGGATGGATGCTACTGTGACGTCCTTTGGTCGCGGCGTCAGCTGCGACGTCCTTAAACGCAGCCTTCGCTCGCTCCTCGCTGCTCCGTTCGGGTGTCGCCGCTCCAAACGTGACGTCCGCCTGTCGCGTCAGTCGAGTTGTCTCGTCCTGTGACGACCAACTGGCTTGGTATCGGTCGCAGCACCCAAATGTGATGTTCTAACCTTTTTGTGATTCGGATGGGAATCTGGTTAGATTCGATATCAGCCTCGTCGTTCCCAACTCGCTTCCAACGCCTGGTTACCAAAGTAACTGCACTGATCTCCAGTCTGCCTACCCACGTTGTGGATTGATCTTAGGCAGACGAGATCAATCAGTAGTTGGGGCCGTAATGCAAATCGGGTTCAAACGGGGGTGACACCGCACAAATATGCATAAAAGAAAATAAAATGATAACTCAAAAATTCAAGGTATCAAAAAAAAAGGATAACAAACTTTATGTCTCGTTGTTGGATACATAGACTGCGTCTATTTCCCGACCCGTTCTATGGATTGTGACACGTTGTTTTCCGTTAGGCGAGTTTTAACGCTTCAAGTTGTTTGCTCTTTAAGAAATTGGTTTTTCGGTGTGTCTTCGAAAGTCGAAAAAAAAAAAACTTATTTTGGTGGTCTGGATCTAAGTCGCTCTTCAAATTAATTGTTCTTGGATTGAAGAGGAGTCCGAAATTTGCGTGAATCTTTCAAGTAAGCTATCTGCGAGGTGGAACCAACTTCCACTGCGAACTTCGAGCTCTCTGCTGGAACTGGAACTGAAACTCTAACTCGAACTGATTTCCGCTCGCTGCGACTTCGCTTATATGGACGCCGACCAAAACCGGGGTGGGTTTGTCGGCGCCGGGGGGTCCTCGATAATTCTAAATACATATCCACCTCTTTTATTTCTGGTTAGGAATTTTCCACTTTTTTTCCATTTTTGGGAGCCTTCTCTTACCCCCTTCTCACCATACTTCAGAGGGGCGTGAACTGCCCTCCCCACTTCTTCGTAGCAACCTCTCATACCCATCCTCTAGATGGGCGGCGACAGCCTCCTCCTTGCGTCACGTGATCACCACTCGACCAATGATGTCTAGTCGGGCGTGTACGATCCCGCGGCTTTGTTTCAGGAAAAAAATATCTTGCTTAACAAAAAAAAATTATCTTTTTCTTTTCCTTTTCTTTCTTTTAATCGCAGTTATCATTTTCTCTAGCCACAAACAGAACAATACGATCGATGGTGGTCATAACTCTTGTTCTCACCTGGGCTTCGTCAGTTATCTTATCGCTAATTATCAGAATGGGTGGTCTTTTTAACACGGCCAGACCGTCGCCTCGAAAAGAAACATTTCTAGGTTCCCATTCATTTTTTCGGTACACATTTCTGATAACATAGTTTTATTATCGCAGGCTAAAGATGTTCTGTCGAAAGAAATCGGTCAGTGTCCACCTCGTGTGCGGCTTTTGACACAATTAATTTTTCATATCTATCCAAAGCCCTGTAGTCCACCTGTTTTTCGTCACTTATCAAAATAACATTTTCATTTGGATTTTTCTTTGGCTAGTCGGTCTGTGGTTTGCCAATCAGATGCCTTCCCGCATTAGCGGTTTGTTTATGTATCCCAATAACACAGCCCGTCGTCAGAACACACCCGATTCCTTTATCCACTCAGAATTTTTTTTTCATTGTAATGACACTCTTCGCCATTTGTTATTTATCAAAATATCCTTTATCCATTAGCCGTGGGTGTTCTGGTTATCATCCACGCTTTGGGTCTTCGCCTCTCTTTTCCTTTCTTTCCTTTCTTTTCTTTTTCTGCCTTGGTAAATGGTGCCACACTACTATAATATATCTACCGAGGCATTAATGGCCTACCGTAAATGACGATGCACTCATTATTGCTAGAAAATGCTCAGAAAAAAAACGATGACATGTTTACTGTTTTTAAAATGAAATCAAATCAGTTTACAAACATTAAAATCAATATTTGATGATTTTTTTTTATATGAAAAAAAATTGTTTATGATTTTTAATACATAACCCGTTCACTGTTCACTGCCTTTAACCCTAACCCTAATCGTAACCCTAACCCTAACCTTAACCCCTAATCCCTAACCCTAATCCGTAACTCTAACCCTTAACCCTAATCCGTAACTCTAACCCGTAACCCTAACATATTTCATATTTCCAACAGTTGGTAAATATCATGCCCTATTAGAAATGGGTGGTTGATATCATACTACAGTAGCAGCGAGAAATTTCTAGATACGCTATGTTGAGAAAGAAAAAAATCTCTTGTTACCACACACGAAAATACAATAAAAAAATTTAACAATACCCTGTCTGTCAGTATGTATAAGAGAGGTATTTCTACCCAAATATTAAACATGCGTGCACCCCACCCCCACACACACTAGACACACACACAGTCTCTTTCTTTCTCTCTCTCTGTCTCTCTGTCTCTGTCTCTGTCTCTCTCTCTCTCTCTCTCACACACACACACACACACACACATATATATAGGGTGTGGTAAAAATACCTCCCTCATATACCTCCTAGAAATACCTCCCACATAATGGAAAGACATTACGTAGATGAAGACACCATTCCTACTAATGTCACACCTTTATGTTGGAGGTATATTTGAGAGGTATATCTCGGAGGTATTTCTGGGAGGTATATGTCGGAGGTATTTCTGCTATTATATGTCGGGGTTTTTTTTAGGAGGTATATTAAGGAGGTATTTCTGGGAGGTATATGTCAGAGGTGTTTCTGGGGGATATTTGTCGGAGGTATTTCTAGGGGGTATACGTCGGAGGTAATTCTTCAGTACCTTGTATATATATATATATATATATATATATATATATATATATATATAAAGAAAAACCTTAGGTGTTTTGGTTTGTAAATGAACAAACCAATACCCAAGGAAAAATAAGGGACAAAAAAGAAAGAACTAAGAACAAGTAATTGAGGCGAAAACAATCGTCCAGAATCCAAGTTCAAAGTCCAAAGAAAAAAACCCACCCAAAACGAGTAAAGCAGAAGTAACTAAGTAGAGTGCTCAATATACGAAGTAAAGCAAATCTAACTATCAACCTAAAGAGCCATGTTTCACCTACCCAGGTTTCACCTACGCGGATCGTCAGGGTGCATTGGCCAGTGCACCCTGTAGGTGAAACCTAGGTAGGTTTACCTGGCTCATAGTTATATATATATATATATATATATATATATATATATATAAAAAAGTTTCAAATTGAAAATTATAATGTTTTATTTTATGAAAGTATTTATTTATATACATATTTGATATTTCAAATTGTCCTCAATTTTTCATCAGAAATAACTGTTTGTTACAAATAAATTAAAATTACTGTTTGTTAGCAAGTAGCGTCCTTCGCGAGACGCGGACGTCACGTGATATGGAACGTCACTGTTCGGATATTCCTAACTTAAATCTAACTGTCATAAATATTTAAAAAAAAAAAATTTTTTTCTATATCTAAAAAAAAATTGCTTAACTATTGAAATATTTATAAAGATTTAAAACACCTAAGTCCCTATTCAACCCTAGTTTATGTGTATTTAATTTTAAAATCCAACATGTTTCTTTTTTTCTGCGTGTGAATGTGGAAGTAAAATCGGAATCTATTAATAAACATTTGCAGTTTTCTAATATGTGTCCTGATTGATTGTGTTTAGCTATGGGGGAATAAGGGTTGTTTTGACGTATTGTTTGTTTATGGTTATTAAAACGAAATCTAAAATTGTTTCCAGACTCACCATTATATCCACTATTAGGACATAAGTTGCAGAA